GATCTCCAACGAGGATTTACTAACTATCCGCCGAATCGGATTAAAAAACCGTCTCGTTACGCGAGATCAAAGGACTCGATTTTCTGCCGGTCGGGCAGAAATACTCCGTTCGAGTTGCCGCACATCGCAGCCTGTCGATTCCCTTTTCGGGCAGGGGGAACTACCGATGCTTTCACGCTACGATCGCGATTCACATTGTAGCAGGCATCCCTGTGCGCCCCTTTTTCGATTCGTTTTGACTATGGCCACAGTCCCTTCGCATTGCGAACCGTCTTTCCTATCGTTACACATCCCTTTAACAATAGGCTTACGGACGTTTATTAAAGTTTGTGCTATTGAACTTAGTTCGTTCGTTTAGATTTTGGAAATTAGTTTTAAGTTAGGATGAACTTCTAATTTCTAAATCTATTTTCTAATTCTAATCTAATTTCTAATTCTAAGTTTATTCTAACTTAAAACTAATTTCCAAAATCTAAACGAACGAGCTAAGTTCAATAGCACAAACTTTATAATAAACGTCCGTAAACCTATTGTTAAAGGGATGTAGTGTAACGATAGGAAAGACGAATCGTGCTACGCACTTCGCGCATCGTACGTTGCAGCGAACCTGGCACTCTCATCCGAATGACCAAATTCGAAGGCGCACGCCTTGCTGACACGTATTTTCGGTTCCGGTGTACAATCCACTGAGGCGCTCACGCACATTAATCGGGTCGCGTGACAAAGAGCGCGAAGAACCGTGTCCGGATTCACGATTGGATTTTTTGGGCCGATTGTTTCTCTTCCTATGACGTCATAATTGCCAGGGCGCTGCAACGGACGGTACAGTGGGGGTGCTACGAGTCGTTCAAAAGCCGGGTTAAGTCCATTTTCGGATATTTTCTAATTTTTGTACAGTTCAATGGGACAAATGATATTCTTTTCAGTCATTGAAGGATTTATTCGTTCCTTCGTTTCTTCTAGGCTAGAAAGCCCTTTTTTAATAGTTTCGGAATACGTCGTATAATTTCAGAAGCCAAAAAATTAATCTTCTCAATTTTTGTTTTCGGAAACTCTCGAAAACTTAAAGTTTCTTTTAAACTATTGCCTACAATAGGACCTGTTGTAGTAGTGAAATTTCGGAAAGTCACGGATTCTTTTCTAAAACTCCATATCTAGCATCCATAGCACACTCCCCGTACGATGCGTGAATTGCGTAACGCCATATCGAGCAAAATGAATCGCGATTCAGGAATCGTAGTGCGAAAGCAGCCATAGTCCTACCTCCTTCGCTTGCTATCTGTTTCAACCCTTTCCTCTTCTTCTCTTCTAGACCCTCCTCGCAACCCCCTATCGCTATCTGTCGATTACCAATACCTTACCGAGATGGCAAGTAGAAACAGGATCTCTGGGTCAGATAAGAGTTAGTACTCACTTGTTGACCCGTTTCATCCGTCGTAATTCATCCGGAGCATGTGCAATGGAGAAAGAGGGATGAGTGGCAGCTGGGAGGTCAGAGTTTGATGCTGAGTTTTCGTCGAATACGGCACTCGCATGGGAGGCTGATTTCTCCGGTTTTGGTTGTAATGGATTATTGTGGAGTTTATTGGTGATGCTATTTAATGAATTTATTTGAATGTTCAAGTCAATGCCTTTTTTGTAGATTGTACACTGCCGCCGTTTGGGACCCGTTGATATGCAATGTCACAAATTAAAATTGTATATCTTATAAATATATAAAATAAAACGAAAAGAATATGTTTTTATATTTGACTAGTACTCATATGTACATGTTCCTTTAGCATACAGAAAAATTCCTCAGCAAAAGTTTACAAAATATGGAAGTTCCTCTTTTATCCGATGTATTCCAAACTTTGGATCGATGCACTTCAGGAGTCTTTTATTTTTGTCGTTGAAATTTTGAATTATGAATTTATTTATTTCATCGAATTTTGGTATAAATAATTGGTTAATGTTAATTCTAGTTTTTGTGAAACACAATTATATAATAAGTTTTTTATTTGCTGATACGGTGGGAATGCAGTTGACTTCTAAATATGTAGTTTGTAATGTTAAAAGTCAATCACATATAGAAATTTGTATTAAATTTGTAACGCAAAGGATATTTTTACGAGTATTCTAGCTAATATTAATGCCATATATTTTATCTTTTGTTTCATGTTAGAAAAGAATGTTTCAGGAAAATGTGATTCAGTTTGGAGGAACAAATATTATGATGCTCAGAATGAATGTTTCTTGTAAAATATAAATATTTTTTACATTGAATTTGTATTGCAAACCTTCACGTAGGTTAACTATTCAAATAACAGTTATCTAATAAAAATTAAAAGGCGTATAAACGAAGTTGATTGTCAGCTGTAGTAAATTAAGTAGTACAGGTCAATAATATGGCACACAATCGTTGGAAGCTGCGAAACACTTCCATAAAACATAATGATTGAAAGATTAATCTAATTGTTTAGCTATTTACTAATAATGGGAATAACATACTCGACACCGAATTCAATTGAATTTAATAGAATCAATTAACGCATATCAATTCCGTGGTTTCCATGGAAGTGATTTTCTGCAGGCAGGGGACCGACAATTTTCTCTCAAATTTTCCTCTAAACACAGTTATAAGCGGTACGAAGTCAATTAGGTTTGTTGACGCAACGAAATGAACAATGCGAGCAAACTCCGTTATTGATTATACGCCATTCAACAGTCAATTAAACGTGGGCAACAGAATTATCAATTACGCTTCATTTCTTGCTGTATTTGTTCTGTATTCTCTTTAATTGATAGTAACCGCAAGGACTTCGAGAGATAATCCAAACAATAAGAATTCTGTCGTTCTGCCTTTGCTTTCGATTGAGAAAACATTAATCCACAACATACTAATAACTATAATTACACGTTACCATTACTTATACTTAATTTTCAATTTAACATACATTAAGAGAAAATAATGATACCGATATAGTCCATCACGCGAAACTCTACATATAAACATTTTATTGTATATTTTCAATCTATCTCCATATTTAGTAAAACAAAATTATAGTTATTTTAATTATTATATTACAAAATTTATTCTCTTTATTTCTTACTGTGACTCTCACTTTAACTATACATTTCAAAGAATACCGATAAACAGACGAAATCAACTAATAATATCATTATACACGTCTCAAATATAAAACTACAAAAAATGATCTGTCCAGATAGGAAAAGGCTAAACGATTCTAGTAGCGTCAGATCAATGAAAATAATGAATTATAATAACCTGGAAACACAGTGCAATTAAAATTGCATAGAATTGCAGTAGTATCGATACAACAGGCAGAAATTCGGATGATTATGTAAGGCAGAACGTAAGAACATCATCGGAATTTTTGCGTTCGATGTTGCAATTATGCATTCAATTTAGTAGCTGGATTCCGTGATTTCCTGCCGCAGCTTGGGGAATGTTTCCCAACAGTTTCTGTTTCCCTCGGTTCGACAGGTTCCCTTTGAATTTAATTCACCGGCCCTCCCGCAGGGCGCCAGGCATAAACTTGCCTGGGATTTACCGATATGCCTCCCCTGCAACCGTCCTGAATAGTTTCGATCGAAAGTTCACGGCATCGGTGCCATTAAACGGCAACTAATCTTGCCAATATTATTCCCAAAGCGAAATTCAAATGCTTAGGAGCTGCTCAGACTCCGCGGATACACAATGCACAGGTGTAACCGTAATTTCCGGAGCCCATTTTCACCTTCCATCGTCTGTGCGCATCGATCATAAGGAACAATGATTCGAATAATTACTCGGCGTTCGGGAGGTATGATTTTAAAGCGAGTTCTACCGTGTATCTTGAGTTTCTGCTTCGTCGAATAAGTTGCTTCGAACTTATAGGACTTTTATGTGCGCTGGTTCAGCAGCCGATCTATCAGAAACTTGATACTGTATCCATGTAACTGTGAGAAATGACTAAATCGACCCTGTAATCATTTTCTAGACTGTTTGAGTATCGAGAGCATCGAATGATTTCTCCAAACATGAATATTATATTCTACAAACACACCTTTCAGCGGAAATTAGAAAATTGTTTGGATATTATAAGAAAGAAATAATTCGAAACAAATTACTTTTTATTCGGCTGTATTAAATTCTGCTTCAGAAAATCACGTTTTAATAATTAAACTAATAAAATAGCTCATTATCAAAATGCATTACGATACTAAAGATTCTATTATGATTATTGTTGTCTACTGGTTAGAGGTGTTTCGCTCTAATTTAAACCGATACAGAACACCGGCAGATTCGTATCACTCCTGTTATAGAAACTTTTCGACTGCTATTCTTGTTTTAATATGACTGTTATTCTCCTTTGCGTCCGATAAATACGAATGAGTAATGAGTATTCAGTGTGTGCCGGGTTTTTATGAATGCAAACAGTATTAAACCCGTCATTGATGTTATTGTACAATTCAATACTACCGAATGTGAAATCGGAATGAAGCGATACTATAAAGTAGGGTAATAAATTCTAAAAGAATTTTATTTATTCGTGAAAACTGAACTATTTTGCTCGATTCTCGATGTTCAAATCAATAACAATAAATTTGATTGGCAGACGCAAAGAGAGTTATAAATCAATCAATACATTAAACGTACATTAAGAGATTCTAACTTCAAGAAAAAAACAGTTAAAATGATTACAAACGTCTACGTTTTGACTCCAACATTTTTTCTGCATTATCGTAGCAACGTAATCGGTAGTTCTCAAACAAGCCTCGCATTATACCCATAATGCTAACATTCGTAAAGCGCGTTGAGAACAGATCGACGAGATTCGCTCAAAGGGAGAGCGGCGGGTATCACGAGACCGCCATAAAGTTTATTGAAACAGTGGGACAATAATGTTAAATTAACCCGGGGTAATTAAACGAAGAGATTGCGCCCGGGAGAGTTTAAATTACAATTAGAGATGAGTGAAAAAGCCAGGGCTACGGGAATGTTATTTTACACTCACCTGTGCACCGACGAGACCAGCACGTAATCTAGGAATGTCCGTGTGACTCCATTCTGATCTGGCCCAAGGATCAACCCTGCCGAGGTCGCTGCTCAGATTAACCTCGCCGAGCTGATTGTGTACGAACTTTCTGACGTTCCAGGGCAAATCGTTGTGCCTGGAAGAAAAATATTCGGAACGGTTAACGAACGATTTTTTTGGTACACAAACCTACTTCCCTGGAATAAAAAATAGGAGCTTACGTAACGTACGTGCAAGGACTTTATCAAATTTAATTATTAATACTTCAAATGTGATTTTTAAATATTACTATTGGAAGATGAATAATAAAGATGCTTACGAATTGTTATTGTTTGAAATCTGAATTATAAGGATCGTCATAAAATATTATTAGATTGAGGATATGTATAGAAATTCTTGTACTTAGAAGATTTTATTAGTATCATTTCCTAATGATTCATGTTGCATTTACATGTTTATTATATTAAATAATTTACTAACTAAATTTCCATGAAAGGCGAATCAGACCCATTCAAATTCAACAACGAAAAAGTAATAATTAATAATTAAGACTCAACAGTTTTTTCATAAATATATTATTAATGCACATTCAGTTTCAATATCAGTAAAGAAAAATGTTTAGAAACTTAAGTATCTTCGTTTTATATGCAAGAAACTGAGAAGTGAGAAATATCCACAATTAAGTAATGAAACTTGCAATGAAGAAACTAAATGGTATAACATTCAATTTCATGGAAGTTAATAAATTAGTTAGTACAATAAGTATGTAAATTCAACATGAATAATTAGGAAATAATACACATAAAATCTAACATCTGTTTTCAATCCTTGTTTTCGACGAAACTTCGAAATCAATAAATATTACGTGGCACACGTGTTATTGTAGCTTACCCATCGATCAGAGGCACTTCAGTGAGAATCCTCCTGATCACGTCCAGCCTTTGCTGGTGCGTAACAGGCGCGGATTGTAGAAGCAACGGTAGACAAAGTCCGCCGAGAAGCAGGGCCGCCACTAACAGCAAGATGGGCGCTAATACTCGGCATCTTCTGCGAGGACTTTCCTCCCTGCAATCTTTGCTGCTGCCGCTGCTAGGTGAATCCTCGCAGGGCGGTGGCAGTCGCACTGTGCCATTGCACGGTGCCACGTCTGGCAGTTCTGTTAGGCACGTCGTCTGTAAAAAGAAATTGAATTGCCTCCATTATCACGCGAATCGCTTCTTTAAATGAAAATATTGTATCACGCATTCGATTAGAGACGTCTTTTAATTCTGGCCGTAGACTTGTTTAAACGCATGAATTTAAGATGCGATCTTGACAATGTCTTTTGTTAGTAAGTCATTGAAAAGTATTGTAATATTTCTTTTATTTTGGTGTTAACACTAGGTAAAGGTAGCAATGAAACTGTTAGTCCGCAATGTATTAACAGAAAATCATGGTCATTGAAAGTAACATTGAACGAAAGTGTATGTTACAACTAAGGAGATTTCATCGTGTATAAAAATCTGTGGAATAATAAAACAAAACACACCACTCAGAAATACTTAGGTATTTAGTTATTAGATTTATTTAGGTCTGTTCACGAAGCTCAAATATAATTTTGGAAAACTAAACACAACGTTGTGTTCAGTTCTCTTTCCAACCCCGATTAAAGGAAATGTATTAATCCGGGAAATTCAAAAAGTATGAAACTTTGGGTGGTAAAGTAAAACAAGTCTAATATATGGTAATGTTTTTCTAATTTCACTTTAAACGGGTGAAACCACCCCTTGAAAAAGACGCAAATTTTTATTTCTTGTGTATCGTCTCGAAAACGGCAATAGATAACGAAGAAACGTTTCAACAAAAAGTACATTGCACTTTCACGTCCGTAAAGTTGGGAAACGTGAAAGAACAATGTACTTTTTGTTTAAACTCTGCTTCTCTATCTCTTACCGTCCTCCAGATAGGTAAATAAAAATTTGCATTTTGTTCAAGGGGTGCGACCGAGTGTTATTCGGTATGAAATAAAAGTTTCATATTTCTCTGAATTTACAAAAATTAGCCACAATCACGAATTTATCGCAGTATCAACGGAAACGGAATCGGATCGTGTCGCGCGAGTCGCGAGCGTTCGGCGACGTTTAAAACAAGCCGTGCCATCGGTTCCGCAACAACGCGATTTCCCTTTAATCCCGAGCGAAATCGTTGCTCCTTAATACCGTTTAATAGTCTTAAAATTCTATTTGCGTTCCCCATCGTTCGGGAAGCAACGGTTCGGGTTAAAGCAAACGCGGCCGGCCCGGAAAACGTTCGAGATTAAAATACCGGGCGCGCGAGAGCGCGGCCATTCCCTTCTCGCAAAGTCAAACACAGGAGCGCGAGTGTCCGATACGGATAAGTGGATTGGCCGAGAGTTCGAAAGCTAGACTGGTAACGAGTATTTAACTATCCGTTAAAAAGTGGATTACAGAGGGATGCCGGGGCAAAGGGTGGCCGGACGCGCGGAGCAGCTGTTTCACGCCTGCTCGAAAAATATGGCTGCCGGCGCGCAAGGGCACGTTTACGTCGGAGCCGCGATAATGGGATGCGAGGTAAGGCCGCGGTGATCGTGAAGCGATTAGAAACGAGGATACCGGGCAAATTAATGAGTGTTGACAGCTCCGCGACTGACGTTACACGTGTTTCTGACGTTCGAGATTTTCTATTTTCAACGAAAATTAATCCTTTGCGCTCGGAAGCTTTTCGCTAGAAACGTTCGACGTTCTCTGATGAAACATAGATGACACTATTTGAAACGAACTAATGTGAAAACACGTCAATTAAGAAACAAAGCTATTTTATATAAATATTTCGCATTACGAGAAACTTAATATTATATCTAGCACTTTGTTTATCAATTTTGTTATATCAAATCGAATGGTGACTGAGAGTCATCTATCGAGTGCAAAGGGCTGATACGGAACTGCTAGATCACTTGACGGCTAGGCTTCGGCTGATTGGTCAGTTTCCATCTTTTCCCGTCTAATTTCCTTAGTTTTATATTTTAATTACTGACATTTCTTTGGATCACTAATTTTCTATTCGTCGATACGGTTACACACATACAATTAATCAAAGCTATAAAATTGTAATCTAGAAAGACTTCTCTTGACCCTCTATGCCTCTCCGCTAAACTACAAGTCGTCTAACTGTGAACACTAGTATAACGCGGTTAATATGTTTGAAATGATTATTGCCATGCCAATGTCTCGTTTAATCAGCTCCAAGTAAGGACGCTGCTGTGAACGCCCAGCAACATAGATGTTATGTATTTAATTATTTGTCCAACATAAACGCTTCCATTACAAGACACAGGTCTGTATTTCTACGCTTCGCTCCGATCGCAGCCCCGCTGTAAACGTACCCTAACGCTGCCAGCACGTGCCAGCCAACGGAGGATATTTTCCAGAGCGTTTCTGCCGGCCAAGACGCATTGCAGACACCCGCGGAACTTCTCCTCGCACTTATCCCGAACTCCCATAAAGTGGAGCAAAGCTGAGACGGGTTTTCCACGCATGTCTTCAAATCCCTCCACCATCCGCTAACGCTCTTAGCGTCATGGAAACTTTTATCGGGCCGACATGCACCGAGGAGAGTCCTTCTTTCGGTAGAACAAGCGATCGCGAGCTGGTTTTATATTTACGACGCGTAAACGCGGCTGCTTTTGGGATGCCGGGATCATCTTCGCGCGTGATGGAATGGGTTAGCCCCTTGACGTGGTCTCGAGTGAGACTCGCCGAGAACATCCACGGCTCGATTCGATCGAAATTGATGCTATTTGTTTCACATGAATTGAAGCGGTAGGTGTTTTCCTGTTGATGTTTTGCCTTTGAGAGTGTACGCTTGCAGCGAACGTAGGATTTTAGTGTATTCTAGTAAATTATGATTATTAACAGTGAAATAAATTTTGGCAGTTGTGAGAAGAGTTGTGTGGAAAGGAATTAAGCTTTCTAAATGTTAGAAATGAATTATTAAAATGATATGTATGAATTTAATTGATTTCAATGACGCTGTTATACATTTCAGATTGACAAGATGTCACTTTGGGTTGTAAAGAATTAACAGTTCAATTTTATTTTCTGCTAGTAGCTCAGGGTTACCAATAACGTTGAAATATATTCAATTTCGACTTTTTCAATTGTTATCAGTTTTTAGTATGCAATCAATGTTTTATTATATTTAATACGAATTTATAGACACAATACACCAATGTTCGCTTAAATTCAACAATTTCGGGCCCTAGCAGTGGAATTTAGCCGAGCAGAAAAAACAGGGGACAGCTATTTGCTTCCAGGAAGTGACTGGGACCTCTCTAACCTACACTGAGCTGAGAACAGTAACGATTAAAATTAAGCCGAGCAAATTTCTATAGAATTTAAGTGAGCATCATTGTAATATACCACTCGTAAACGCATATTAGATATAGCGCAACACTGACCATTAACTAAAAATTGAAACACCGAAAATTACTCTATCCAGAGTTTTAGCGTCGATGCCGAACGCTGCGCACTCGCGTGGCGCCGGGAACCCCCAGGAGTCGCTGTAATCAGCGTCTGCTTTATTTTATCTCTTAATCTACTCATTACATTAGGGGAAGAGCAGCGAGCGCTCGCGTCTTGGCTGCGTAACAGCATTTCCATGGGGGAAGATTAATGAGTCATCGAGTTATACGCACAAATTGTCAGGCCTTTCGCCGCATAGGTAATTCCGCCGGTAACTCTCGCAGTTTAGGGTTGCATTGCAAGCTGGAGGAAGCAAGGAAATCCCAGTTTCATTCGAATCCTCCCTTCTCCCCTTGCCCCCCTATCCATCCACTCTCCATCCCCCTGTCCCTGTCCCGCGGTTCCCGGGCTTCTTCTGCATACGTACCTACGTACCACTAGAAACTTCGCATCCCTGTGCATCCGCATTATTGTGCGCCATAAATACAGGAAACTCGCCACTGCTGTATACACGGCCGAAGAGACACAGAGCTGTACGTCAGCCAGATAAAAGTTTCGCCGATGCTCGAAGTGCCAGGTTCTTTCAACTTCTCGTATAGTACCGAGTTCGGGGGACGTCGTCGTATAACCGTGACGGAAACGATTTTTCATAAAAAACAATTGTGTCGATTTCATTAAGTGTACTTGAGACTCTGTTTAATCTTTTCAGGAGCGAGGATAGAAATATCGATTCGAAGCGTGACCTCGTAATTTATTTTTCAATGTTGCTGGAATTGTGCAGTGTATTAGTGATTTTTTAAATTTAGTTATATTTAGCAGTTAAAAGTTTAGTCACGATGGAAAAGGGTGTACTTCGGAGAACTGATCTTAAGGGAATGGATTGAGAAAAATATTCATGTTGTAACATCAAGCAAACTCAACATAATTCATTGGAATAGTAATATTTGTAATTTTAGTAATTTCCTGGGTGTATGAAATTTATCAAATTAACTTTTCTGAACCAATTGTCAAACGCATTCACCACTATTTATAGTATAATACTTAATCCATGGTTAAATGAAGCCAAAATATTATAAATCGTTATTGTATTATTATATTATTATATTACTATTATTTTCGCCATCGATTCCGTTAAACCAGTTTCGAATCCACCGGCGCATCCGCGAGTGCATGATACTCAAATGAAACTATCAACTCGGTGATAATGTGCTCATTTCGGAATCTTTCGAGGGTGAAGCCGCGAACTCTCGTTCCGTGAACTTTCGAACTTTTGAATGTCTTTCCTCCCCGTGCCCGCGACGCTGTCTGCGTCGGTCCCTTCGAGGTTTCCTGATCCCGGTATACCTTCCTACCGATATTCCGTTCACCGTGTCCCAGCCCCCCCTCCGCCGTCGGTTACCGCTACTTCCTCTTCCTTGTTACTGGCACATCGCCACGCGTTAACGAGGGAACAAGATGAAACTTCGCCGACAGATATTCCTGAGGCACGGAATTTCTACGCGCACGCTTTGGGGACCGGAATATTCAGCATCGATGTGACATCACGTACACCCTCGCTTCCGGGTTTTCTATGCGGCTGAACATTCGTGCTCCTCTGTCCGAGCGTGGCCCCGAACAATTCGCGATGCTCGAGTTTCGTTACGGCTGCGGGACTCTTCTTCGGCGCGGACATCGATCCGCCGCGAATATTTCATCGGGAACGTGGCTCCGGA